ATATACATACATATAAAGCTCGTGAGCATGTGTGTGTATGTGTCCTGTGGCAATGTGTGTACTTACTATTCGTGTTGTTGTATTTTTTGCCTTTTTTTATGTGGCCGTCCTTTATGCTCACGCCTATTAACTGTAAATTTAAAGTTGTAGGCGGTAATTAAGTTGCTTAATGAGCTTTGTTGGCGTGGCATAGGCATAAATTAAATGTATATATATATGCAATATATAAACATACATACATATTTACACTCTAAATAGCGAAAAAATATTATTTTGAATTGTGAATGGATTAACGGAATATTTAAGTAGTAAAATGATTACACGTTATGACGTCAGACTAGCAGAAAAGGTAAAATGAGAAGAGAAAAGCAGCATGAAATACATACAAACATACATACCCACATAGGGCACACTACATACGTTTATTCAATTCAGGCTCATCTTGGTTGGTGGATTGGTTGCACTGATTGCCGGACATCAGCTCACAACATACCCATTGTGATACCACTGTTCCTACACCTGCTAGTTGAGCCAATGTGGGGAGCTTGCAAGACTGAGCAATGACCGTTTCCGCCCCAAGAGACTTCAATTCGCCCGGTGGGGAGCTCTCTTGTGAGTGCCTTAAAATTTCAGGTTCTGGTCAGCAACTTGAGAAGACTTATAACTGTAGATATCTCCCTTCTTTATGATGGTGAAAGTAAAAGCTCGTCCGTTATTATGCGGAAAGCTACTAACTATGTCCAGTCACTCATACTAGGATCAATGAAAACTGCTAAGCCATCATGTTAAGTGATCCGAAAGGTTATTAATGCGATTTTTAGACAGCACCAATAAGCTGAGACAGTTGACAGCCTTATGTACAGCCGACGATTCCGCCTGAAAACTACTTCAGTTATTCGGTAAACGAAAGGGTTCGCAAATACAAGATTACATCCTTGTCAAAAGTAATCGACTCGGTGCTTACTGGTATTAACCTGTCCCATTGGCTTCTATCCGGGATAGCTACCTTAAAATCCGTTTTTCAGGCGCACCTTACGTCAATCAGATTCAAAAGTTTTCGTACGCAAAGTAGCGGTTTGGTTATGGCGCTTTTCCGGACCTCTGCATCGTAGATAAAACCATCTAGAATTTAGTAATTCTAATACAGTCGCGGAGCTACACTCAATTCCTACCCGTGCATCCACCTCACATACCCCGGGAAATGGGAGCAGCCCATGTGCAATGCTTGGCTCACGTCCAAAAGAGGGGAAGCCTCAGTGGATTCATTCCTACATATTTGGTTTAAGGGTGCACGGAAGTCTAATTGCACCGTCTCTTTACCAGAAGTGCGGCTGCAAGTGGCCACTGGTCTTGAAGTAAGCGGGTTTGCTATACAAAATTTCCAAATGCTTAAACTGACAAATGAAGAGGAAAGGAAGACGCATGTGCAGACAAAAACAGAAAGATGCCGAAATGCTGGAATGCGTGAGTACGAAGAGGTTCAGAAGCTGGCCGACAAGTATTATGCGCGAAAATTCTACGAAAAGATACAGCGACTTACGGAAGGTTTCAAGACCAGAGGAAACTCTTGTAGGACGAAGCAGGATGAACTATGTATATACTGAATTTATGGAAGGAACACGTCTCCAGTTAGCTGGATGGCAGTAACTTTGCAACCTTTGGAGATGGCGAAATCGAAGCCCCGAACCAAAAAGGTGGACTAGACATTATATTACCCCACTATGATCAGCTTTGAAGAGCTGACAAGGTGCATATATCCGTTTCTTAGCAGAATATGGTTGGGTAAAAGCATGTACAACAATTGAAACTTGAGTGTGCTCTGCCCAATCAATAAAAAAAAGTGCAACCCACATTCTGCGACAATTACTGTTTCATAAGACTCCTTAAAATTGCGTATAAGGTTCTATCGAGAATATTGGCATCAGACTTGGTAAATCAATCATTGATCAGATATTCACTATGCGACAAAAAAGCATTTGCACACACCACCTCTTCGTCGATATTAAAGCCGCCTGAATTTGGTATCCCCGCCAAACTTATACGGCTATGAAAACTGACCCTAGTCAACACTAGAAGCTCCATCTGGATCGATATCAAACGATCTAATTCATTGTTAGTGAAAATAATATTAGCTGCAGACACGAATAGAGAAGGTACAATAGAAAGAGTGTAGAGCTGCTTTGATGAGCCAATGATATTCACTTCATAGTCTTCAACAACCGTTCCGTTACTTTTGCTTTCTCCCGACTGGAATTAGAGCAAAACGAAATATCTGTCCTTCTCATGACTCGACCTCACATCACTATTGACAGTTCGAACTTTGAAGAGTCCTCTCTCGAAACAGCGAATACCGCAGCCGATGGAACGATAAGTTGTGCGAGATATGTATGTATGCGGCGACATTTTCATTTTCATTGATTTTGTATGAATTCCCATTTTTTACATTATTTTTATTAAAATTTGAAAAGGTTGAAAATGACAAATATTTTCTGAACCGCCCTATTAAATACTCTAAACTTTGCTGTTGAACAATTTGGCAGAATTCTGTAAGCCATATGGCCACTTATAAAAGCTGTTTGAAAATGCTTTCGAGAAAGCTCGAATAAAATGACAGTTATTGTATACCGAGAAGCTGCAAATAGTAAAGAAAATGATTTTCAAGAGGATTTAGAAACTGAAACACTCAACTGACCACTGTTCATATGAAGAATTTTTTTATTTAGTAAAATCACCGTGGCTTTTATTTCATATCAGAAATACATTCGAAGCTCACGGGTGACCGCCATTATCAAAATTATTTCTATTTTTAATTAAATTTCTATAATTTTAAATATTGGTCTGATCAGCACATGGTAGCACTCACTTCACGGTTAATAGATACACATATATTGCAATACATTTATCATTTAGTACGCTTGATATGGTTTTCTTTAATCGCTTAGATTATAGAGCTCAAGAACTCTTTTTAAAAAATTGGAATTCAAGTATTGCTTTTTCTAACTATAGAACCACTAAAAATTGAGATTACAAAAAATATATATCATATTTCGAAGACATTCCAAACTCTGTCAATGTGTGCGTTAAACGGCATACCTTAAACACAGTTATAAAAATTTGTCTGTAAGTCGCCGGGTATGGCAGTGGCATAATAAATGTCCTTTGTTTTAAATATTTACACTTTAATTTTGTGGGTATGCAAACATGTCAACTATTTTGCATTTTTTCCAATTCAAGCGAAAACATTGCATACAAAAAAAACAAAAATATTTTAAAAATGTACACAAAGCGAGGCACAAAAAATATTCAAACTAACCTTCTCCTTGCTCTCGTAAAGTACATTTCTAGGAAGGCCAGTGTTAAAAACCGCTCTTTGTTTTGAGCATCTTTTGCCTATGTTATCACAAATAAAGAAATATTACGTAATACGAGACCTTAAATTAAAAAAATTTGACATTTTTGCATAGACTCAAACGTCAAGGACAGGTTTTAATTTGGTTTTAGGAAAACACAAAAAAACGCACTGATTTTGGCACACAACTGGAACGATATTCCTCGAGGAATTATGTTTTTTGTCGCTTTATGACGGTTCCCGATAACTTTATAAGTGAAGTCAAACATGAAATTCATTTCTAATACACGAGTACATTTCTTAATATTACTTCTTTTAGGTATTTTATTTAATTTATTTTATTTCATTTTATTTTATTTTATTTTATTTTATTTTATTTTATTTTATTTTATTTTATTTTATTTTATTTTATTTTATTTTATTTTATTTTAGTTTATTTTATTTTACTCATATTAAATTACTTAATCTTTTCATACTTTTTATGTTATTCGTTTGAAGTATTCTATAAAGTTTGGTTAATTTAACTTAATTTGCGAAAATTTAATTTAGTTTATATTTTATAATTTATTTTATTTATTTTTTTTTAATTCAATTATACTTTTAAGTTACTATATTTCTTTTTATTTTAGTTTACTTTTTTAATTTTGTTTTTATTATATATTTAAAAACAACTAAAAGTTTGTTGTAAAAGTTAATCCTTTTTAGGTCTAAGGAAATTGACCTTAAGGAAACAATTTTCGTTCTAAGCGCACAGATTAGAAAATCATAAAAAATTATTTTTTCTTCGAAAACCACGCAAAAACCTTACAAATAGCAAGTACTAATGCCTTCACACTTTCTCCCCTGACCACAATGAAAAAATACAAAAGAGCGCTCTTTAAAAAATGTACCAAATATTTTTTTTTAGTTTTTTTTTGTCGCTCCAGTTTTTTAGCCAAATTCAGAGCAGTTTTTTGTGAAACAGACCCTAACTAATAATTTTACGTAACAAAAATAATTTTTAACATAATTAAGAATTTCACGGCTTTGAAGAGAATACGAAAATCACCAACTATTTGTTGTCGCAGCAAATATTGTTGCAAAAAATTATTATGAAAGATGGCGGGGCACCAATTTGTTGACCTTTATGAGAGCATACAATGTATTTCTTCTTTTTTTTTGCATTTATGATTTTTTCTTTATTTTGGCAACAAAAACTCTTACAATTTTTTGTTCTGCTTCTTCTTCTTCGCTGGTAGTCGCCCCAGGTATGTTTGTATGTATGTTGCATGCAAAAATTCAGGACATCTCTTCCGTATATAATTTTTGTTGCAAATATGCATATGTATGTGTATGTGTTCTACATAAAGAACGCGTTTAAAAAACTAGAACTAGACCGTAACAGCGGGTGCACTGACGCTGCGGCTTTTCGTGCACGGCTGAGTGTCTGCAAGTCGTCAATTTCCGCAATGTCCTGTTGTCCTGCAGAAATTTCGTTGACTTTTTTGCTTATGCAAAGTAAAAATCATTATCGCATGTTGAGCGTTCTCATTTGCCACTCATGACTATTTTCCGGGAATCCTGCCACTGCATTGACCTCTCTTTTAGAGGAAAATTTGCTTCGTTTTTGCTTGACTTTTTGGCATAATTTTTTGTGACGGTTTATCTTCTCTTTTTTTTTTTTTGTTTTGTGCCTCCCGTCTTTTGTGCGCGGTTTTGTTTCACTGCAGTCGCTGACAGCCGTGCATAGTCTTTACGCTGCCACTTTTCACGCTGATTTTCTCGTTGATGGACGCGGCTGACCTGAACTAGATCCATATTTTTATGGTTCTTTGATTTATTTTTTGCCCGCTTTTTGTGTTGTCTTTTGCAAGTCTGCATTTTTAGTGTCGTTTTTTCGTTTCTGTAGAAAAAAATGTGCTGAAAAATAAATCATAATAGTTGACTTCATAATAATGTGTTTGAAAAAAATATAAGAAAAGACTTTTGTGGAAAAAAAATTTGCGGAAAAAAATTTACTGAGCCCATTTTTGAATATTGCAATTATTGCATAACATCGCCGTGACATAATTGTGACAATTACTTACTTATTGGCATAAGTGTGGAAAGCATGAAGGACGATCGGTTCCCTTGGAGTAACACAAAAAATTTGCACCAAAATTGGTAAAAAACTGGAGCAGTGTTTTATGCGAAAATTGCTGTTTTTTGTTGACTTTTTAGGTTGACTTCTCCGACCGCATTGCTGGCCTAAAAGGGACTATAATGACAAAAAGGAAGAAAAAAATACTAAAAAAAAGCAAAAGTGTGTGTGGAAAATATTCTTTTGCTATAATTTGTATACGGAAATACTGTGACATTTAGACGGCACAGAAACATAAATATGTACATATAAAAAAGAATTTTGTATTTTTTTACCTAACCTCAATCTCGAACCACTTTTTTCCGCATACAAAACTTTAACAATGAACAAGATAGGCACTCGTCCTGCAAAGTTGAGAATCGTAGACTTAATTCTTCATTCAACTATTGAAAACTCCCCAAGTTTCGGTACTCGATCAGTCAGGCTTTTCGAAAACAAATGGAGAAGAGAAAGTCACCAACCAGCTGATCAGATTTGCATTACTAGAACATTATTGGAGAGTCGGTAGATTAAAAAATATTTTGAATTAAATGATTAAAGAATCCAAATTCACATTAGCGCCAAAATTCTGAAAAGGGAAACCACCGACTCGATTAACTGACGACAATAAAAAAGGAAGAAGAGATGGTCCGAGGACTAGACTTTTTAGGCCGGATTAGTCGGTAGGAAAAGTTGATTACCTGGACATTATCTGGCTTAAGTACATTCATTAAGTTAGCTCATTGCTTCCATAGTGTTCTCCCAACTACACGTTCATTAATAGTTTTCTTAGACTGTCCGAAAGCTTGCACCTTTTCTCCCACAATATTCCTAAGATGGAACTTTTGAAGCACAAATTATTAATAGTTTCTGTATATAAAATCTCAGTAATCAGTCAGAAAAGTAGTTTTTAGATTGACTACAATCCAAGTTAAAAGCTTGTTCTACGTTAGAGTTGTTCCAGCGGGCTTATTGCTTTCCTTGAAAGCATTTGAAGGTGCTGGAAGGTCTGAGCGCTTTCCAGTGGTATATTTTCTCAGTGGCCTTTGCCCGCTCATCTCTTCAGTTCAGTTAATCACTTTGTTTCTTGTGATGGCCAATTAATGCTTTGCTACAGAATAGAAAGCAGATGAACTAGTTTATTAAAGCGGGTGCCCGATTGCTACGATAAGTAGAGTCCCAATATTGCTTAGAAGGCAGAATTAAGGCGCTAGTCTTCGGTATCGGTACCCAGCCTACGATGAGTATATGACTATACTTCGACGACAAGGTTCCTTTAAGAGAGACTTGTGGTTCGTTGGTTGAGATCAGTGTAGTGTTCTGGGCTTAAAACTTAGGAATTCGATTTCACTGAATGAACAAAAACTCAGTTAAATGCGAGGTAATATTGTTAAAGAAAAATCCGTCCATTATTTTTGCATTAAATGCAAGGCTTTATTTGCGGTAGTTGGTTTCATCGATACGAATAAAGAGTTTGGCCGTAGGAGAGTTGTACGAAGTGAATGATTCCTTGCCAAGCCTACCAAACACACAACAAAAGATGGTCAGGAAGGCAAATCCTGGCTAGGAGACCGTTTGCGCTGTCTCACTGCCCTTTGTCCAAGACCAATTTCTCTTCACGTTGCTATAAGTGATCAACTTTTCATCACCATTCACCATCTGCTTCCGAAATGGATCGATTTTTTTTTGCGATTTAGCAGATATTCAGAGATTTTAGCACATATACATCGAGCTTGTTAGTGTATCCAGCCCTTGTCAACTGGCTAAAAACTATTTTTTTTTCAATATTTAGCTCTGAGGTAACGAATAACAGCCTAACTCGACGATTTTCAGTATTTTATGATCTTTTTGGCAATGAAGCTTCCACATCGGAAGGAAATGGGTGCATCATTGGCTGTTAAAGTATCCTGACTTGCGTACTCGCCTTAATCGAGGAAAAATGGTAGAATATAGTAGTTCATCTTTGACATGCCCTCAAATACTACTGAGTTAAGTGATCAAAGATTCTCCCTTTGTCTTTTTCTTGAAACCAAAATATCATTTTTCCCATTGCACTCATAGAACGAGAGATACATATATATTAGGTTAGGTTAGGCTACATTGCCTGGATGCTACGTTGTGTAAAGTACTGTTGGTGCTTAGCAATGCCAGGTTGAGGTCCAGTCAAATCCATATATGATATCAACGCTTCTGGCTTATCTATATTTGTGACTTCTATTAGTTCTCTGAACTGCGAAGTCTCAGAAATAGACGAGGTGTTCTAACGTCTCACTCTTACCTGTTTCCCTTTACCTTCTGCATGTATGTATTTTTGTTATATATTGTATATATGTATATAATTGGCGTTTTGTAACCGCTGAAGCAATTTTTCGCCGAGCTCCTCCTTCATTCAACAAATGGAGGGACCTACAATATATACTAAGCCACCTCCGAGTGGCTGATCCGTTTTCATGACGAGCCTTTTTTCATGTCATGTCGAAGGGGCTGACATTCCCTGCCGAGGGCGGACCGCAATTTTTGGATGTCAGTCCGACACCAAGATTTGAACCGGGTGGCTGTAACGGCCTTCGCTGCCTTTAGAATTTGATCTCGACGATCTTGCTAGCTGTTAACCCATTGCATACCGTCCTGATCCATCTTTCGTGTATATTCGGCTGCGTTTCCGTCGCCGAGCGATTATTTCCTTCTCCGCAAGCCCTTCTGAACTGCATCTGCTTCCTTTGGTTTAAGGGACTTAGAGTCTTTAGGTCTGGCCAAAAAAATCCCTCAATATAATAAGTGAGAAAGATGCGATTTACATATTCAAAAATTCATATAAAATTTTATTCTTTTTAACCGAATTCGAAACTACAACTTTCGTATTAATTCGTTTCGAAATTTTTTCAAATTTTTTTCATAATTTTTTGTTCTTCTTTTACACAAATTTAACGAACCCTCAAATTTGTCAAATGTAAAATATTTCTCCGTTTCATTTTACAGCACTTAGCATTGTGTCTAATTTATAAAAAAAATATGTATGTACATATATATTAATAATAACAACAAACAACGGTAGTTATGACCAACTCGTTGTAATGTCACTAGTTATTGTCCACAATGACGGATTGCCGCCGTCGGTTGACGTGAATTATGATGGCATCTCTTCCATCATCTCATCACACACACGCACACACACACATCTGAAATGCATATACCGTTGCAATTGTTTGTAATTTACGCCTGTTTTTTATGATTCATTTTATTTATTTTTGAACAGACACAATTTTTTTCCAAACAGAAATTTTGTAATTCTATATTTTCCACAATTTATTTGCTTAGAGACCCCATTTTAGGAACATCAACAGCGGTGACCGCCGACAGCATGAATGTACATATATGTATGTTTGTATCATATGTACGGTTATGCATGCATTTCTCAATTCTCTCAACTGCATTTAATTCGTTGCCGAATATTCTCGTTTATTTTGTTTTTTTTTTTTTTGGTTTTTTGACAGTTTGTCAACGAGCGAGTGAATAAAATTTGTTATATTTGGTCAAATCCTGTTGGTTTTTGTGTTAGATTCACTTTTATATTCTTTCTACTGTACGATGTACGAGTATGTAGCACAACAAAGGCAACAACAAAAGCAACAACAATAGCCTGTGCATATGTTGTGTTGAAATATTGCTTCATTTCGGGTGGTGCGCCCAACCGATGGCTGCTGGTTGCTGGCTGCTAGTTTTTGGCTGGTCACACTCGCTGTAGTTTGATGTTTTGTTTCTGCTCGCCGTTACTGACGTCTGACATTTGACGGCGGCTGGTAGCAAATATGAAGCGTAACACATTTTGTTGACGTTTTAATTAATTTGACACTCGCAATATGGGATTAATTATATATTTTCGGGTTTATTATATAATTCCCGTACACAATTCGTCAAATAATTTTATGAAACTGGTCAATCGGTGATTTTCCTACACTTGAAAAGGGAAATAAGTTGGGAGAATAGTTATTGAAGTACTCAGAATTATTTGTTTGCTAAGCTTATTAAATATCCTTAAAAGCAAAATGACGCTTTAAATGACAGATGACTTTTCGGTATTCACATAAACTGAAGTTGATTATTCTGTTAATGGTAAGGACCATTTAAATTTCAAATGTTCTTTACGTGCAACGCTTACTTTTGAACGCTTTTTTGCACTGGCTACTTCTATGTCATAGTCTGAGTCCTTTTATAAGGCGTATCAAGTCTCACTCAGTGAGAGCATATTACAATTGTGAATAGATGGACTGAAAGATCTATTGTGCACTTCTTATCTATCCCAACTGGCGAAAAAAGTGTGCAACTTGCACTACAAGACCCCGATGGGCCATAATTTCCACTCTATAAAGCAGAATAAAGTTGACCTATCCCGATTTGGTTAACTTTTTGAGATCGCTGTATGGGCATCCTTTATTAAAAAAAATTAATATTTTCACACCCGATCTATCGTTCTATTCGTTCTTCATTGGCGCAGACGCTACCAGCCCGGTCATGGCAATCGAGTACTCTCTTTGTAGTTTGGCGTTTCAAATGGAGTGAAGATCTTACACAGTAGCTACACCGGAAATATTCAAAGCAGGAGGGCACTTATCCATTCAGACAATATGACGTACTCAGCGTACTTTCTGAGCAATGGAAAATAATTCTTATGTAAACATTCATCTCAGAAACCACCAGGGCCGATTCATCGAATATTGTCATCGGCCAAACATCCGCACTATAAGCTGATCGGGAAAGATGTGCGGCTTGTAGTGTTTGGTTTTTATTCGTTGAGAGAGGATATTGTTTACTCTGTTCAAAGCAGCAACTGATATCAATTGTTATTGGTGTAAATAATGGTTCCAAAATAGACGAAATTATCTACGACTGTCAAAAGTGTCCTGAGAACCGTGTGACAAATTCGATTGCCGTTTTATTGATGACAGGAAATATTTCGTCTTGCACTCGTCCACTATCAAACCCATAAGCTTACTTTCCATGTCTAGTTTGTAGAAATCAGTGGTTGTCGGGGCCAATGAGTCTATATTCCCGTCGTAAGCCAGGAGCTGTAAACTCTTATACAAGATTGTACCTATTCCTATTCAGTATTTTTCCACCAGCAATAAGTGAAAAAAGTCACACGATAAGGAATCACCTTATTTGAAACTTCGCTAGGTATCGAACGTCTAGAAGAGGTCCTTCCTGATCCTAAAGAAGCTTTTCGTGTTGCTAAATGTCAGCTAACTGCAGATAGCTTCTTTTCGTGTTGCGGAAGACTCGAGTCTTTTCCAAAATTTGTCGCATAGTGAATGTCTGTTCAATGGGTAATTTACCAGTTCTCAAGTCACACTTATATGGTTCACCGAGACCGGGGGGCAAGCATTAAGCATTGCGTCCTGAAATTCGGAAGGCCAGGGTTCTAATCCTGGTGTCATACTAACAACCAAAAAGTTAAAGAAAACAATCGAAATTTTCTAATTTCGGTCGCCCCTCGTCAGGGAATGTCAACACCTACGAGTGTATTTCTGACTTGAAATAAGGACTCCTTATGAAAAACCATTAGCCATTCAGAGGCAGCTTAGTATAAGCTGTAGGTCCTTCTATCAGTTGGAAAAACATCAAGAGGAGGAACTCGGACAAAAATAGATTCATCAGTTACAAAGCGCCAAGTAATCCCACAGTAATCGGCGGAGACTGTTGAATTGTCATGTTTGTGGATTGGGCAGAGCAGACTTCGATTCCAATCGTTGATCATATTTTCATTCAATCATTTTTTCCGAAGAAGCTTATGCATTTACCTAGTCAGCGCTACATATTTATGCAAACCTTCGGCTCCCGCAGATTTGTTTTGTTTTAAACGCGGGCAACCGCTATTCGAACTTCTTCGTAATTCTAGTCCATTGTCATTGATTTGGGTTTCAGGCTCGACATCTCCGGTATTGCATTTTTATTGTCATACAGCCGGCTGGAGAAGTGTTACCTTCATAAATTCAGTTTACTCTGGGCATCAGTCACTGTGAACTACAAAAGTCTACTCCTCTAATTTTTAAGCCTTGAGCGTCCTTCTTAGTTAATTTTAATGTCGACGTAATGTATGTGTGGATATGTAAAATCTGCTAATTTTTTTATTTGAAGTTGTCTCGGAAGTAGCATTTTTTATCACAACTTTTGTAACCTTCAGTTTGCGAAGAGTCTACAGAATGTAATGACTATTACCCAAGACCTGTGACGGACATTAAAAACAAAATTGCGTCACATTCTTCAACCATCCTTTGTTTTGAATGCTACAACATTGCGTAACAACTATTTTTTACGTGGAAAAAAATGTTAAAAAATCGACAAACAAATGATGCCATGACCGAGTGGTCACGCGAGTCAAAGCCATAGGCATGTTGCATTAGTTTTACAAAAAAACGAGAAGAGGTCCCATAAAAAAGTGACTAAAACCCACATAGTACACTGCAGAAGAATCCTTATCTATGACAAATTTCTAGAAATTTTTAAAAAAAATAAGAAAAAAGTGATGCGGTGACGTAAAAGAAGAACAACTCTGCTGACTTATTGTCCTCAAATTGTATTTTTAGTGTAACTCGTCTTGACGACTTGACGTAAAAAACAGTCAAACCACAGGCCACGCGCAAACGGCAACCGCGTTGATGTCACTTCGGCCGCTGCCGGCACGCATGTCCTTCCAAATCAATTGCGGTGCACAGCAGTTTCGGTTTTTTTAGCGCACCGAACGAGTGAGACAGCAGAGAAAATTGCGTAAAAAATTTGCCAAAAACAATGTCAGCACACTTTTTTACTACTTCTCGTACTGAGTTACGTAATATATTGTATTTACTAAAGGATAGGCTCAGCGCATTAGACAATAACTAAGGTATTGTGTAATGGACACGCGTAAAGTGGGTAACGAGTTCAGTTTTCAGAATTTTGTAAAAAAAAAACAACATAGGATTCTATGGAAAATATCTTTTACGCAATACAAGGTCTCCAGTCAAACCATTTTCGGCGAGAAAAGAAGGCACTCAAACAAAAGTGGTGAAATTTGTCAGGAAAAAAAATCAGTTTTGAGAAGCAGTTTAGTTTTTTAAGATTTCTTTTCCGGCCTTTCTAAAGGCATAGCAATTTTTTATGGCATAACAATATTTTAGTTAGAATTATTTAGCAACAAAATCCTTGTAAATTCTTGCAATGGCATTTTGTCTTAGAAGTTAGTATATTAGTTTAACCAATTTGGGCGTGAATTTCAATTCAGTTTTTTAGGTTATGTTTAAGTTCTGAGAATTCTTGTGTAAAAAACTACCTAGGAACGGTTCTTTATACCCTTGGAAATCCATTGTCAAATTTTATGCAATTTTGAAAAATAATGCAAAATAAATAAAAGAAACCGCAGGTATTCTAAGAAATTACTTTTAGCTCAGGAGAAAAATTTCTTCTGGCCTGAATACCCTTAACCTTTAAAAATAGTATCTTAAGGCATTACAAAAAAACTAAATTCTACGACAAAAACTATTGCAGATTCTAAGCAACACAAGTTTATTATGTCCTTTAAATCTGGGAACAAAGAAGACGTGAATCTTTACTTTAAGAAACGAGTTCGAGTTAAACGGCGCCCTAATGAGTTCAGCACCCCTAATAGGCTGAGCGCTCCCTTAATGTGTCTCAGCGATATAATTGCGAGAGACATTCATGTTTCGGCCTTTATAACTACCCTAACTTTCAATATTTCTTCCGAGTTTTGGCATATTCAGCATGTCTTATAGTAAAAAGCGCTTTTTGTGACTTAGGATTAGCTTTTCCAAAGTTTACATCTCGTAAAATATCCTAATAATTTAAAGGAAGTAAATCTTAATTACCATGAAGAGATTTCAGAAGAGAGAATCAGCTAAGTTTGGTTAGTTACAATAAAAGAGAGAAGAAGAGTAATGCTGTTCAGGCTCCACTCTCACATTGAAAGCTCCGATGAAGTGTTAAGGCAAGTATAGTTCTAGTCATTGTGATCTGATAATCGATTTCAGAATTATTTTGAAAATCCATACATGTTGTGCCATTTACAAGATATAAAAGTAAGGACGACAGGTGTGTGCAGGGCCCTCACTAGGTTAAAGATCGCCATAGACAACTCAGTTACATGGTTGCTTAAGGCTATCAGTCTATCAGGCTTTAACCTTTAAAACGTCGCTTAGAATGATTTTTTTTTTGCTGAAAAATCGGAATTTTCTTCAAATTAGGAAATCTTTCAGACGATACAGTGCCTTGTGGTACACTTTTTTGAACTATCGACCCGTCTAGTTTTCTTGAATTTTGTCCTTACGGAAACTCATATCAGTTCAAGGTCAGAACAATTTGCAGGATCCTTGAATGAAAAAAGTCTCTTAAAACTTATCTAATGTTTGCCTAGATCGAGAATAAATAGGAAGAAAGAGGAAGAAGGGCTCAATTTTATTATATAAATGGCGAGTATTTTAAGAAAAAACTATAAGAAAAAGATAAGATGTATTGGATTGAAGTCAGCCTATCTTTTCATTCACTCTGAGCAGCGGGTAGCTTTGGCCTATTTAAAATGATGCTAAACTTGAAATGGAGAGTAATAGTTCTTTACCTTAAGCATCCTTCTTTGCTCTTTCCTTCATGTTGGGGGTACTCTGGTCTACTGTGAGCTTAATAAGTCTACCTTACCTTACCTTACCTAGAGCTTTTGGTCCTCTAGTCGAATTTTTTTGGTGTATTAGCCTTTATATAAAACGTCAGCGCAGTGAAGTTTAAGAGCGGCTAGACTCAGACTAGCTCTGAGATGTCTACAACAATAGTTCATCTGCAATTATGTATTGTAGATGATTGAGCCGTGTCTTTGGCAAGGCAGGGCAGTAACACAGAAAGTACTCTACATGTCACTAATGACTACCT